GTTAAATTTTTTAAATAAAACGTTTTAGTACTAATTAAAAAATATAATTAGAATAAAATGGAATAAAAATAGTGTAACAGTTATTTTAGTGCCTTCTTTAATAATAATTATGTACCAACTTGTTTGGGATTTCTAATGCCCAATCAGAACTCGCGACAGTTGTCGCTCTGTGCGGACTCGCCATAACTCATCACGGCTCTTGAAGAATCATCGTGACGCCGGCAGCGATCCCATTCTTACGATAATTATCCTACGCGTGCGATAATTTGAGGTCCTGTACGATCCAAAAATCGTGGTGTACGATCCATTTGGAATTTCGAAAACTTGATGACCTTTTTTTGTTGTTTTATTTCTTTTTTTTTTACGTATCAAACGTCGTTAATGACGTCAGTCTATCCGGCGGTTTGATAGCTCCATAGGAAACCCCACAGTGAGAAAATTGAAAGTTGAAGTCCTTTGTTTTTCTTTCTTTTTATTTTTTTCTCTTTTTACTCATCAAATTTGCACACAAGTCGCTTCTACGGTTAACGGTTAAACAAAAGTTGAAGAGATGAACAACGTACAAAACAGAAGACACGAAAAAAATATGAGGATATATGACAATATATGAAGATACATGAAGATATATGACGATATAAAGAAAACAAGCTAAGAAGCAAGAAGACAAAAGAAAATGAAAAAAAGAAGCAAGAAGACAGAAGAAAACTGAATAAACGGTTGGAAAAATTGCTACAGAGCAGCATAGCAGCATTTGCATACCAGCAATACAACAAAAAACATCAAAGCATTTCTTTCCACAGTTTTTACTTTTACTTTTAACTTTTTTCCAGTTTTTCTTTTTTTCAGTTTTTACTTTTACAGCTTCTCCATTTATTAACATATTTGCAACATTAGGACGTCACAGAAGATTACACGACAAAAAAGAAGTTTTACTAATTTTACAGGTAAATATTTTAAAATTATTAATCCAGGTAATTTTTAAAGGATAAACATATTCTCAAAACTCTATTAAGTCTTTGAATTTTTTTCAACTATTTAATTAGTATTCTATTTATTTTGTCATTTTAGTCTTTACATTTAGAACAGGGCGACTTCAACATTTAGAACTGATAGGACATATAGGACAAATAGGACAGATATAGGACAGATAGAACAGATAAGACAGATAAAATAGCTGCTACATAATCTATTATATAATTTCAGTAAGTCTATATAAATCTATGTAAACATATAGTAACATCACGGAAGATCGCACAAAAAAAAGTATGTTAAAAATTGACCAAGT